AAACTTTTTTCTTGATGTAAATTAAAGACTTTGAGGCTCTAAATCAGTATTCAAAACTAGGGATAGAACACATTAAAAGAATTTCTGAGAATAAAAATTACCATTTCCATGTGTCATAATGTGAAACATTCTGCCTTCAGGCCTTCCAGCAACATCCTCAGCACGGGCAGTCAGACCTTCCTTCACTGCCTGAAACCCTTGAAGGACAACTGCAGGAGTGTTTGAAAACCATAAGGTGAAGATATTGCCATGAATTTTGGCCATCTGTAGAACAAGGCAGAATCAGTAACAGGAGTGAGAACTGGTACTTTCAAATCAAACAAGGTGAACCAGATCTTCCTGGGCAGATGCGTTAAGGATGACTGACTGAGAACAGAGCATCAGGTATGTTCTTATATACAGTATAGTTTGAAGTCAGGTTTCCATCTAAAGTCTCATTTATTAATGATCATGATGTTTCTAAAATGCCAGCCAATATTACCAAAGTCTGTGATGTCATTTATTATGTCTTACAATTCAAAGCCATTTTAGATTAACTCATCCATCTTCACCACTTGCTACGAGACAGCAGCAGCACATGAATTTGATGTAAACCATCTACAGATTCCCCTTTGTGTGTCAAGTGTAGCAAAAGCAGTGGAGGAGCTGATTAATGCAGGAATCATCCTTTCCTTTCCAGCTCAGCTGTGACAGCCTTGTCTTCAGCTGCCTTGTATGCAGGCATCCCTGGCAGTGGGCAGGACAGTCCTTCTCCTGGCTGCTGAATCAGGAACTGGAAAAGTAGCAAAATAGGCTGGAAAGAGTGGTGTGTTGCCAAGACATCCCAAGAAATGCAGGACCAGAGGATAACAAAATTTTGCTGCCTGGGAGCAAACAAGAGGGAATACTTACGCACAGTGAGCAAAAATGTATGTGCTTGTACTTGCACATTTGTGTTTACTTTCATTTTTGTAAGGACCAGTTCATGGCTTTTGAAACCTTGGGATGACCAGTACTACTCTTCATGTCTGGGATGTCAGAAATAGAAGAAAAGACAGCAGACAGATACTAGCTACTATTTAGTGTTATGGAATAATAACACTTTGCCTTGAAATATTTTTTTGCCAGCTCAGGAGGACAAAAGTGGCAGGACATGGAAAAGCCAGGGAAAGAGAAGGTTAAGAATGAAGAGGGAGAGTGAGGTGCTATTGCTTACATATTTAAATGTTAAATATTTAATATAGATGTATCAGAACTATGAAACAACAGACACAAACTTTAGAAGTGGTGCACATTACAACTGGACATAGAAAAAGGTTTGAGAATACTATTAATTATTTTAGCCATCTAAAAGTTCAGTCTTGCTATCAGACTGAAATCTCTTGTGAAAATCTGACCAAATGGTATATCAGAAAAAAAATTATTCTAAGATCTTTCAAAAAATCAATTGAATAAATATATTTAAAAATCATCCTTTCTATACTGGAAACACACACATCCTCAGTGGCTATTTCCTGGGATACTTAGAAAATACCAGTGCAAAAATAGTCAAAACACAGACATCCAAAAGACTGTACAGAATTAGTGAGTCTACTTTAAAAAATACAGCTTCTTCCTAGATGTAAGGCAGGACTATTATCATCATTATGGTTTTGTTCATATGCACATAAGGTACTAAATATATATTTAATAGTAATTGCAAATTGTCACACAAAGAAACAGATCTTTTAATTATCTCCACCTGTTTCCACATTTATGCAATTTAAAACAAATCTCTCCCTAGCATTCAAAATAAGACTATGTTAAATACATTTACTTTTCAATCAGCTTATTAGTCCATTAATAAATTGCCAGAAAGTACATACTTTTTTAAGATGCTCATGATGAATTTTGAAGTTCATCTGCAGCAGATTTCCAAAGAAGGGATATGGAGTTGGTCCAGGAGGAAATTTTCTTCTCATCCATTGCAATTTCAGAAACTGTATCAACAACAGAGACACCACAAAAAATACCAGTACCTCACTCACTGTTAACATTTTACTTCTGATTTACACAGCTACGTTGTCTCTCTACAACTGCTGTGTAGACAGAAGAGAGATCAGTTTATCTTGCTTTTGAGGCACCTCCCTGAAAAGAGAAAAAACACTTGACACTCCTGTGACTTGCTGTCTTTCCCTCTTTATCACTTTTACTTCCCTATCCCAGAGAATTAAGTGTTCTTATTTTTAAGCATATATAACATCATTATATTGCAGCTACACATCTGTCAGTCATTGCCTCTTCAAGGGACACAAAACATAGGTTAATTATACACCTCCTTGTGCCATGGCTCCAGCTGTGACAAAAATCTCTGCCCACAGCCCTGGTTTCATAAAAAACCTTTTGCAAGAATGAGAAATAAAAAAAATTTCCTGAGGGTTGACTGCACACCCAAGGGCAGTGGGGTTACTGAAAATTCAGGCTCATCAGTAGCCATCATATGCACCAACAATGTGCTTTCCTACTTAACTTGCCCCATACTGTTGATTCTGATGTACTCTTCTATTCCTTTAATATTTTTCCTCACAGTTTATAATGAAAGGTATTTGGGGGATAGCTCTACCTTTTAATTTTGTGCCTAGGGCACACATAGACCATAAAAGACTCCAACTGATCATTGGGTAACAGGAGTTTGTTGGACACCTAAGTGTCCTCACACTCCCTGCTCAACTGTACAGGGAAGTGGGGCTGCAGTCTCCTTGACCAAGCAGAAAACAAAATTTCTTCACCCCCTCCACCTGCCTGTGGCTAATCCCCCTGGATTGCCTGCAGCAGGAGCAACAATGACATACTGCTGCCTCTGAGGATTTCTTTCACAAGTGTTCTCATGCAACTGAGCAACTCCAGCTCTGCAAAGGGTGGCATTTGAACATGATCAATACAGATTTGGCACTTGCACAGGAACAGAATTAGCTTAGACTCAGCTCATCTGACTTAGCCAGCAGCATATGGCGCTCTGGGAAGTCACCTAGATGACCTTGCTGCTCACATACCAAACTTACAGAACTAGGACAGCTAGAAATAAAATTTGTGAGGTGTGAAGGACATTGGCTTGCTCCAGAAACAGGGCAGAACATAAAATAACAGGTTAAATAACATTTACCCATCTTGCTGGCCACTGATTGAACCGAGAGCTAGGATCAACCTGAAAAGCTGAATTACCCATTTTGAGACCACTTTTGGGAGTTTTAACTCCTTCACTAGTTTTGCATTTTCTGTATCTCAAACTACTCCCAAGTCTGAGTTTAGTATTTTCCAAAGTGTTCCTGGGAGGAGACTCACAGCCCCAAGGCTTGCCTGCCCTGCCCACTTGCCATCCCATCTGGCCCCTGCACAGTCCTGGCTGGCTGCTCTGCATCTCCCCTGCCTCTCCAGGCTCACTCTGACTTTTCCATACAGATTAGCCACATTCTGGTGATTGTACCTCTCAGCCTAGATATGAACAACCTGCATGTAGGAAGGCAGCTGCCAAACAGCTTTGCCAAGTCTTTGGGAGAGATGTCAAAGGGAATATAAACTGCTTTTCTCCTCATACAAGATGGTGCTGGAGGATTGGGAAGAGAGAAGCCTGATAAGGTTTTGTAAGCTGTATTTGCCACAGCTTCCATGAAGAGAATTGTCTGGGGAAGCAGGGGTTGGAGCTGGCTGACAGCTCAGAAGGACAGAAACAAGTGAATCCTCCCCCTCTCACTTTTTTCAGGAGAGCTGCTGGCCCATTCTCCTCTCTCATCTCCTTTCAGTCCATGACACAATGGATAAAGAGAGCAATGCCAACGAGTCCTTGAAGCATGCTTGTGATAACAATTGTAAAGTCTTTTATTCAAGAAGTAACAGCTGGTAACAGGTTACAGCAGTAACCCTCATTTTGGCCTTGGGTTTTAAATCTCATTGGGTGGCTAAGAAGGCCAGTCTCACAGTGCAAGTGGCTACTGATGCTTGCCATCTGTGGTATTCACATGTCCTCTGAACAGAGAGAGACTTAGCTTTCTCAGGATTTTTCCTGAGAGAAGCTGTGAGAGAAGCAGAGAAAAGAATGATCAAAACAATTCTTATCTCACTTGCTACTGCTTGTTGTTGTGCACATGTGGAATGTGTTCTGGAGATTGTTTCCCCAAGGTGATTTGTTAATTGGACTCTGCTGGTGGTTTCTTGGATTCACTGACCAGTTCGATCCACTGTGTGTAGGTACTCTCAGGAGAGGGTCACGGGTTTTCTAGTTAATTTGTGATAGTTCTTGTTAGGTTAATGTAGTGTAATATAGTTATAGTATAGTATAGTAAATAAAGTAATTAATTAGCCTTCTAATATGTTGGTTCTGCACATCATTCTTCCCGTGTCAGGGATCCCAGCACCAATACCCATCCACTAGCTCTCTTGGGCACTGCTCCTGCCAGCTGCACCTTGCACCTCTGTGTGTATTTGGACTCAGTGGGCTCAGCTCAGCTGTCAGAAGGCTGCTTGTGTGCAGCTGCCCCTCTGCTCACAGAAAACTCTCTAGACCTTTGATTCTCCCACAGCCTTTGGGGAATACCACATCAGTCTCCTGCCCTGCCCCTCCTTTGCAGGCACCAAGCTTTGCTGCACAAAACCGCAGACTGCAAGCTGCCCCCTGAACTGTGCTTTGGGCATCAATGAAAAGACATGGCAAACCTAATCTGTCATACATCATTGTCATTATGAACCCTAGCATGTGAGAGGACTCCCACCTTCATAGAAATGCTTCTCAAATGCACCATAAGAGTATATGTAAAAAAAAAAATCCAGGCCAGCCCACTGGCCCTTATCTGTTTCCACCCACTGCATTTCACCAGCAGTGGGGCTTCCATCTGCAATTTCCAGCAGACAATAGCAGGGGTTTGCCTTTGCTCTTGGCCTGAGTCACAAGCCTCACAGCCAAATGAAGAGTTGCCCTGTTGTCTCTCTTTTACTTCCAGCCTCAAGCACTCATCTGCCCATGGCTCTTGGCTAAATAGACAAAGCTGCTCCCAGCAAGTCGAGGTGCTCCTCCACAGCTTTGTGCTCCCAAGTAACCATACCTGGGAGTTTTGGTAATGCCCAGAGCCACCACCTCTGGGAACAGCATTCCAAACACACCATTCTGGATTTGAGAATGCAGGGGAAGACTGCTCAGAATCTTCCTCTCATGTTCCTCCTCCCTCCAGTAAAATTCTGACAAGTTTCCAGTAAGACTAGACAGAGCAATAATTGTCTACATTTATTTCATTTGTAACACAGCAGGAAAAAAACAAAAAAAAAGAAATACAGACACTTTCCAGACACAGGAAAACCAGAGTATTTTTCAGGGCTGGCTTCTAAGGCATACAACAAGGAGAGATTTGCACTGAATCTGAGCTAAAAATGAGAACCATAAAGCTGCACAAATCCTAGCACACTACCAAACCTGTGCCTGTGCCTCTTAAATCTCCAATGCTGAGCAACCTAGCGCAGAACTGCACAGAGCTTGTATGGATGGGGTTTCATGGTGCTCCCAAAGATAATGTCTGTGTTGATTTCCTTAACTCCTTCTGGTACAGTGAACTTGAATTTCTGCAACAGGCTGCAGAACATGATGAAAAGCTCCATCTTGGCTATTGTCTCTCCCAGACAAACACGGTGACCTGCAAAAGATGAACAGAAAGAGAAGTCAGTCCCCACAAAGGTCTGTAACCCGCACCTGTTTCCCAGCTTTTCACAGGAGCATTGCTCATCAAGGAACAAAGAGCTTTGCTGAATTTGACCTTTTCCTCTCAGATTGAACTGGACGTACAACTGGCATGTCTGCAATTCATCTTTGCAGGCTCTGCCCAGATTATAGAAAAGATACCAGAGATGCTTCTCAGAAGTTTCATTCTTGCTTCCCAATCTATAGGACTCCCTAGTTTTATGAAAGGGATTTCAGTATTTTGATTCCAAATAAAAACAAGAAAGCATCTTTAGGTTCCTTCACAGCTTCTACTTAGTACAGGCTGACTTATCTTCCCTAATAACAGCGAAAAAATCAGACGACAGAGGGCATTCTACACCTGAAGAAACATTTTCCTATATAACGGTTTCAGTGAAAACAACTTGCTAAAGAAAAATCTCTTCCCAATTTATCAATTAACTCTGTCCAGGATATAATTCCCAGAGACAGACAGTGACAAACTCTGAAATGCAGTGGTCAGGTCATTCAATTTGGATGTGAGAATCCAATTCCTCTTCTGCCCAATTTAGACCAGAAACCCGAGGCTGACATTTTCACAGCTTAGCTTACAGCTCTGACAACCAGGCTATTCCCTCCTGGCATGATCTCCAAGAGCTTTTGTTTGTTTAAGCTTCTATAAACTCACACACTGTTGAAAGAATGATTCCAGAAGCTCCACAGAAAAGACATAGACTTCTGGATGTATTCAATCCAGCTTCTGGATTATTCATCTCTATGCACTGATGAATATTGAATTATTTATAAAAAATAAATCAGCTCCAGCACAGCAGCCTGCCACAGAATATCCACCGTAATGGCATAAGCCACCATATAAAGAGGAGGACCAAGGGCAACAGTGTAAGGATTCAAGTTCCTAAGTGATTGGGAATTCTGTGACCTTACTCATTTAATCTTCTCTGCATTTTCACAAAAATCTAAGATAAAGTGTTTATACAATTGCCAAACAACTTATTTTTGCAGTCAAACATTTTTCTGGGCTAGGAAACACCACGTGCTCCTGCAGTTCAGGGTTACACTCCCCTTTGGCATTCTCCACAATGAAAATAACATCTAAGCCATACACCTGAGTTCAGTTCTCAGTGCACTCACCTGCTGAGAAGGCTAAGAAGGCCTCTCGGGTCACAAAATTTCCACCCTTGTCTAAGAAATGGCTAGGGTTGAACTGGTGAGGTGTCTCCCAATAGGCAGGGTCAAAAAGAGCTGAGTCTACATTTGCCATGATTAGAGTGCCCTGAAAGGAAGAGGCAGTTGGCACAGTTCTGTCTCTCACACATCCAGAAGAAAAGGACACAAACAGATTCCAGCTATAATTGTGCACACAGAAAGGCAGCAGAAATGAAAGGTTGTATAATTAGGGGGAAGAGAATGATCTCAAGGGTTCTGAGGATTTTTTTTTTTTTTTGTCAAAAAATAAGCGAAGAAACTTCAGTGTTTCCCTGCTCAATTCCTTCATGTCTTTTTTTCCAGTCTGTTAGCAAATACCATAGAATGTGTGGTCTGCAGTTCTTTAGCACTGTATCCTAAATCTAGTGAAATTTCTTCCCCTGAACTGGAGGGGAAAGGGTTTAATGATAAACCTTTACTTGTGGTCAAAGATCACACTGGAATAGACAGGATATCTGTACCTTTGGAACATGATACCCCAAAAGAGTGGTATCCTTCACAGCTTCTCTGGGAAGTGTGATTAATATAATGCTGCTGAAGCGGAGAATCTCATGAATCACAGCATTTGTGTAGGGCAGCTTCTTCCGATCCTCATAGCAGATGAGATGGGAAGGACTCAGAACAGTATCCAGCTCTCTCTGGACTTTGTCTAAAAAAAAAATTAAATATCCATTATAGATGAAGAGCACTGTTTTGGATGAAACAAACTTTCATTTCCTTTTTGAAGTATAGTAATGATAGAAAAAATTACAATATAAAAATAATTCATACTTACCATATCCTAAAGTATAAATGCATTTGTACAAATGTATATATGTACAAATGCATCTGTATAAATGTATGATTTGTATAAATCATAACCAGCTAGTTATGATTTTATTACACTCTGTTTCCTAGTTGATAGGTTTTATATTCAGACCCTCTTTCCACAAGCCAAACAGATTTATGGAGTATTATAGTTAAAGAAGGAGGAGAAAACTATAAGTATAATAAGACCTTCTTACTAAGACATCAATTCAGTTAAGCTGTTGATTTTACTTCAGGTAAATAAAGACTCACAGCACACTAATGAGGGTGTTGCAAAAAAGCCATCACATCAAGCTGACACGTGTAATGCTGAGAACTGAACTGGATCGTATTACTAAACCACTATCAAGTGTTAATCTCTTTGGGCTGCTATCTAAGCTTTACTTACACACCTTATACAGCCTCAGATGATTTGGGGTCAGATTTCTTACTGAAAACTGAGGCTAGTAAGTTAAGTGGCTTTTTTTTTTTTTCTTTATGATTTATCAGAATTTGAAGTGCATGTGTGTGCACAGGGCTCTGTTCAAGCATTCCATTCTAGCACCACAAGTATGACAAGAATTTCTAGCCCTCAGCCTGAGACTCAAGAACATGTACTTGGCTTAGTAATTCATAACCTCTGAAAACCCTCTACCAAATCACCCAAAAATTTTGAAACTAGTGTGCAACTATGCTCTTGTCCAGAATTTCTTCCCATTATTGTCTTCCTTCTCTGTTTAACATTCCCATACATTAAAATAAATATATCTATTTTACAGAAATTTGACCAATGTCTTAGTTAATTAACTCAAATCATATAACCTTATTAAACATTCTGGATACCAGAAAAGCATCACTTTGCCCTAACCCAAAATCTTATTTCACCTTGTGTGTTTTCAGCCTGTATCTCCCATTATATACTTACAGTGCTGAAAGAGTCTGACAAAAGTCAACAGTATCCAATACAGTATCAGAACCTGAATATCCCTGAAATTCTTTTAAAATCTGTCTGAATTTTTTTTTACTACATTCGCTTATTAAAAGCAAATCTCAAAACATTTATTTTTTTAAAAAATGAGCTTGATCTTAACCAAAACAAAAAAAAATTAAAAGAAAAAACTATAAGAGGAAATTGCTCTACTTGAATCATATCCATGCTTGTGTGTACTACTCACCTTGGATGTCAGGGTAAACCAACATATAGAGCAGAGCCCAGCGCAGAGTGGTGGCTGTGGTCTCTGAGCCACCCAGGAAAAGGTCAAAAACTGACTGCACCATGTTGTCTTCGTCAAACGTAGAACTGGGGACTTTTTTAGTCTACAAGTGTCAGTAAGAAAGATAAAATGGAGTAATGCTGTGTAACAGCACTGAGACAGAGAGTGATCACTGTATCTAAAGGAACAAGATTTCTAGAGGACAAAAAAATGCCTGCTCAGATACCTGAGCAGAACACAGATTCAGGCAAAGACTTTACTCAAATGAGTACACTGATACTGTTAAATTACAGGTGCTGTTGAATGTGTCAGGTGTATAAATCCTATTATGCTACCTTTTAATGTGGCATGATGAATTCTGTTAACTTCCACTGCAGAAAAACACATTTCTAGGTAGTTTTATCCCACCTGTGCCACTTTCAGCACATTTGCTGATTTCAGCAATCTAATATATGTTATCCTTTTAAAGATTTATGCTTTCTTTCAGAGCAGAGACTGACATTTTAAGATTGTCATGATACTCATACAGCACTACTAAGCACAAAAATAATACAAGGCAAGAATCAGAATTTAACAGCCATTTAAATACCTGCACCTTTTCAAGGTCCTCCCTACTGCCCAACCCTCACTAAGGATTCCAAAATATTATAACAAACCAGTGTAAATAATTTGTACTTCTAGAACAAGTTATTGAACTAACTATTCAAAGTTCATGTTTTGAGCTAGGCAGCAGAGTTTTTAAGTTGTGTTTGCAGAGTTCTGCAGTAATGTTGTTGTGGACAGACAACAGCAGGTAAGGGGCAGGGAGCCTGTTATGGTTGGATCTGTGTCATGAACAGCATTAATCACTCACTTTCTCTATCTGCTTCAGGTAAAAGTCAATGAAATCTTCTGGTTCATCTGTTCTGCCTTTTTCCCTGTGGCTTTTGATTTCCTGCCTTACAAAGGAATGAACAAAATCCCGGGAAATTTTTGCTGTCCGTAAAGGTCCTGGGAGGTGCTCTACAAACCACGGGAACACTTCACTTATCTGGGCAGCAAGAATTCAGCACAGAGGCAGTTAGTGACACTGTAAACAAGTCTTGTGATAGAGATATAGCATGGACATTTTTGGTGCTAAACTGCTGGATTAATTTCTCTGGGAAAAATCCTGTGGCATAAAAGAAATGTTTAGTGCATGCTGAGTACATAAACACACATTAAAATCACAAATTAGGGATAGCACAGTTTCCATCCTAGATTTTCCCCATCCTTACTGCATAACTCCATTTGTATATGCCCTGTAATTCACCAATAAAATAATTTACTTTTGCAGATAGATGTATCAATATTAATAAATCTAATGTTAGTAAACATTTATGTCTATCACCTTAGCACCAAAAAAAAAACAAAAAAAGAAAACAAAAAAAAACCTTCTCTTTCGTTCTCACACAGAGCATCATCTTTTCCCCTTAACAATACTGGTATTTCCATTACAGATAAGGTCATTATCCCAAGCATATTACCTTTGCAAAGACATTCTAATAAAGATTATTAATACAATATTCATAATTGAACCATGTCAAACCCAAAGCATTGCAGGTCCAGTTCATATTTACAGTCAGACTATTTATCAGTATCCAATAGTGCAATACTTTAACAATATACATACTAATATTATTATATTGCAATAAATAATGAGCCCAATAATCAAATAAATTGTGTATTAGTAATATTCTAATCAGTAATATATAATCTCATAAATAATATTCTCACATAATAAAAGTAGCTGTTCCCAAAAGCCACTATATGATTGAAGGCTTCAATCAGCTGGCGGAAAGTTTTATCCTCTAGGGAGAACCGATGTCCAAAAACCACAGCACAAATCACATTGGAGACAGCATGGACAATGGGAAAGGAAGGGTCCACAGCTTCTCCTGCAGACAGAAAAAAACACTCATCTCCAAAGCACTTCCTTCTCCTCCTTTGCTATTTGGGAGAGCAAGATTACAGTGACATTTTGTAATAGTTGTCCTCTATAATATTTATACTGTTACTTAGAAACACCCAAACTTCACTAAAAAATGTAACAAAAGATATGTCTCACTCAAAAATGAGGACAGGAAAATCTCAAATCTTTAATTCCTGGCCTTGATTTTTTTTTTTTTTTCATTTGCTTTCCTTTTTGCTTTCTTTTTTATTTTTTTTTTAATCTCAGTCTTGGTGTTGATCCCAAAATACAAACTGCTGAGGTCCAATTGTACAATAATCTCAAGAGTTCTAAGGGATTTTTTTGTCAAAAAATAAATAAGTAAAGAAACTTCATTATTTTGGGTTCAGGGATTTCCTTGCTGTATTCCTTCATGTTTCTTTTTCCAGACTGTTAGCTAACACCACAGAACATGTGGTCTGCAGTTCTTTAGCACCTTATCCTAAATCTGCAAATCTAAGGCAAGCTCTAAATCCATTCTATTCTGTAACAAAAGTAGTCTTTACCCTTAGAGTCAAGCAGTCTGTATTGTGTCTGCCCCCAAGCACAAGCACTGTATCAATGCCATACCCTCCTTGTCTCTGAAGAACTCCACCAGGTAATGGGCCTCAGTTTGTATCCCACGCTCCATTCCTTTATTCCCCATTCCCAGTTTTCGGAGAGTTCCAATTCCAAAATGTCTCTGTTGTTTCCAGATGAGACCATTTGATACCAAGATACCTTTAGCCATCAAGAATGAAGTTTATGTCACAATAAAGTTCATACAATTGTAAATGATAAACACAGCAAGAGTCACCTTCTCATCATGCTGTCACTCAAAGAGGAGTGACACATCAGGGCAGTGTTCTTTGAACTGAATGTTGTTAGAGGCAGAGAAAACATCTTGGTGCTACTATCCCTGTAAAATACCCACTTGGACCTCTGGACTCGCACACCTGCCTTCCAAATGTAGTCCTATTTTTTTCTGAAGCATTAGTCTCTGGTAGGGAGACTACTCTTTGAGGGATCCTGTTCTACCAAGATCTTTACACTAAATATTGAGTTCTCATCCTGGAAAGGTCCTTTCTGGAAAGACAATGAAGCCGGGGCAAGAACCACCCAGCCAAAATGAGAATGAAAAATAGGCTTTAGCCAATCTGCAATCAGTTTCTTAAGATCAAGAGTTCCTGTGGGACAGAAGGAATCCCAGGCTGCTCTGCTGTGGGTCTGTGTTCTAGCAGAGACCACCCAGCATGAACCATTTAATCTGCTTGGTAGGGAAATTCCCTCCACAAGTCTAGCCTGCACTTCTCCCTGGGAAAGCCAGCTCACTCCTGCTTCTTTAGAGCTTGGGATAATTCTCCCCTATTTTGCTGTCCTGGGAACTAGGGAGAGGCAGGTGGTATTTGTGCTGCAGTCACAAACTTGCAGCTGAGCTAAAGCCATCCCTGCTACAAATTGCTAGTTTTAGGGCACTTGTCACAACCCAGCTACTTTTGTCCACAGCACCCTGATAAAAAGTGGCAATATAGATCCTTCCAAATGGACTGAAATGGCCCCAGACTTGATCATCTCTATACCTTAAAGTAGTTTTTCTCTACTTACATTAGCTAGTATTACAAATTAAAGCTTTTTTGACTGTAGTTCACATTAAACAAATCCTGGCTGATGGTAAAGGCATCTGCTGTACATTCTCTGGATAAGAGGTGGATAGAAACATGTTCAATTACTTCTGTTTTAAACACATCACTCTCTATTCTCCCTCCACTGTGATTCAACAGTGTTTGTGATACACAGTACAATGCTTTGAACACTCTGGCTAATAAATTTGAAGCTCCACTGACCTTCCTGTGACTTTGTACTTCGGAACAAGACTAGATCAAAGTTTTGTATATGCTTTCCTTACAGCAGCCTTTGCTGTAAACAAACAACTGGGAGCATAAAGATTTACTTTTGTCTCGGCTTGCAAAGGAGGCTGCAGACTCAAGATTATTTCAAATCAGGACACACAGACAGCACTAAGAATGTTGACCATGCTGCTCTGATATGATTCTGAAATATGTGACAGTGGGATTTGGAGGCCACTTAGGATGATGCTTCAGAATTACATGATTCACCTTCAGAAGACAGAAAAAGTCAGTTGAGAACAAAGGTTTTTTTCAGTAAGAAAAACCTGAGAGGAAACAAAGAAAGTCAAGGGTGAAGTCCTTCCACAGACATGAACATCTTACCCTTTCCATTTGACATTTTGTTGAAAATGATGGTCTGCAGTCGCCCTGAAACATCCTCCGAGTTGTTGGTGAGACCGTTCTTCACGGCTTGGAACCCATAGAGCACCACCATAGGTCTGTGACCCATCCACAGGGTGCAGATGTTGCCATAGGTTTTTGCCAGCTGCAGGTAAGATCAGTGCCCAAAAAGTCCCATGGGAGAAACATCAACAAACATGCACACATGATGGGCTGCTGCCCTGCTCTCTGGGGTTCAGGAGATGAAAAGGGACAGTGGATGTGTCTTGTGATGGGGGTGCTTTCCACAGGAAGGGTCTAGGCTCTCTCTGGGAACACACCACCCGCAGAAATGTGAGCAATGAAAGAATAAATGGTCCTTTTCTAGAACTTGGCCTGGGTTAGCTTTGTGCTTTCAACCATAGGATAAATACCCTTGAGTGTTTATGGATCTATAGAAGGTTTCCTGTGAAATTTCACCTGCCCATTCAACTCCATATTTCATTGACTCAAACAACAACCAAAATTTCTTTAAATTATGAATTCCAGGTGTAACTCCCCTTCTAGAGTTCTAAGTACTGCAGATTTCATGTTTCAATAGCAAGAATTTTCCCATCTTATACTGAAATACTGTCAACTGAGGCATCTAAGCATAGATCCCATCTCTGGGTACTGATGGGGACTGCTCTCAAGCAATGCTGTGCGTATTCTTCAAGGACAAAGTCCCTGACACTGGACCAAGAACCAGTACAGATCTGTCCTCTCACAATGATCAACATGTACCCATCAGAAAATTTTAGCTTCATGGTCTTTTAAGCTCCCTTCAGCTGCAGCCAGGTACTCTCTGACCTGCAAGTTGTACTTAGCACATAAGGAGAGGCAGCAATTTGAAAAATATATTAACACGTTGTGTTCTCTTCTGACATTTTGGCTCAGTGGAGGATGTTGAAAACTGAAAGAATCTGTATTAATAGGCTTAGCATGGACCTAATTCTTCTCATCAATTATTTCCTTTCACCACCTTTTACATCTTTAATTTATCTGCAAAGAGCACATCCCAGACTGCACTTCAGAGAAACAATGGATGAAAGTATTTGGCTACCAATACAGTCTTGGATACAATCTTGTTTCCATCCCATGACAGCAGAAGATATACTAGTGCACTTTTCACATCCTCCGAATTCAAGGTACCTAATTTAAAATTATTTTCAATATATGCCTATGATGGGAAATCTGAAAATCACTTTTTTTTTTTCAAGGCCAAAGATTCTCTTAAAAACATAAGTCTTTTCTGAATATGTTCAATTCTGTTTAAGTTGCACACATATATGAATGAGACTTTCAAATTAAGTTATTAGGTTTTCATATGGATTAGACTGTCTGCAGATTTTTCACCTTAACTTGTTAGGCACTTCACTTCTACAAATCACCTTCTCTCAGGGTTCTCCCTGTTATCACATCAGCCTATCCACAACCATCACCATTTTTTACAGGTTTTGCCTCAATAGCTCTTTAGTTCACATTCACAAATACATACCTTTTTCAGGCTCCCATGATCAGCTCTAAAGTTTATCCACCAGATGCTTCCAATGATGGGAAATGGAGTTGGTCCAGGAGGAAATCCACGACTCTTCCATTGCAAATTCAGGAACTGTGCACTCAGAAGAAACAAAACCAGGGATATAAGAATTACACTTATCATCATTTCACACTTCCAAACTCGTATTATAAAATTGCTACAAATCTGTCTGTTGAAATTGTTCTTCTTAACTCTTCCCTGTCACTTTGAAGATTTCTGAATTTTCACCTCCCTTTTTTCCTACCACTCTTCCTGATCCAAGAAAATGAGGATTATTTCCATTTTTGAGTGTTATTTAATACATTGCTGTGTTGCAATATGCTAATTGATACCATTATTTTAAGATCCAGCAGAGGCTGGGTCAGAGAAGGTGGGAACCTTAGCCAGAAACGTCCCTTTGAGCAATCAGAATGTGTCACTCAAAATACTGACTATATACATGCATGCCAAAAACTCAGGTACAAAGCTGCAGCTGTCAGACAAGAGCAGGAACACTCATCAGGTAGAACTCTTGGGGCAGAGGTAAAAGGAGGCAGCCAGCAGCCTTGTAGTACAGTGGATGGACAGGCAGACTTGGGAACTAAGAGCAATGAAGTGTTGCAATTTGAGTTTTCACAGTAAACAATACAGATGAACTGCCAATAGCACAGTGAAGAATTAAATATAACTAGTGCTATTGGCAAAAAGTGTAACAGATCTCACATTAAACTCCATTTTGGGGCTGAATTCTTGTCCCCCAAGAGGATTTATTAATTAGTTTTTGCCTTATCTCAGTAGCAGGAGCCCTGCCAGGAGAATTATTCCAGAGCCTGTAAGTCTTTGCTTTATTTTTCTTTTTAATTCACAGCACCGGAAGCAGCACATGCAAAGACCTCCTCAACACACACAAAAAAAAAAAAAAATCCCTACAAACAGGAGAAGTTCTTAGAAGATTTCTGGTGTACAGCTAGTGGAATAGGCTGTTTGGGGTATTGGTACCAAGCTGCCTTATGAAGAACAGCAGGCCTTATAGAAAGGGGGCTGAGCAGTGCTCCCCAAAGGAGTGTCTTTCATTCCATCAGACGGGATGAATCTAAACACCTGCAAAAGGCTGCAGAAGACAAAGAACTCCATATGTGCTGAATGCTTGCCCAAAAATATACATAGCCCTGCAGAAAGAGCACAAGAAGGCAATTACTGATCTTAATTGTTGGTTCCACCCCACACCTGCTGTCTTTTCTGTGCTTTCTCTGAGGCTGTTGCTCCTCTCACAGCAGAAATGTCCCTGCAGGCTGTCATTCTGTCTCAAGATTTGCTGTCTAAAAAAAAACTCAACTCATCCTCGCAACTCCCCTTGCATAAGCCAATGATGTCACTTACCAGCTGGCAAAAAGGACATCAGGTATATTTTTAAAGCTCTTTTCACATTTTATTCAACTCATCCAAGTTCTTCAGTAGTATTCAAGGCACCTATCTCAACCACTGTTAACAAGGGCAAGAACACTTCCCTGGAGAAAAAAATCCTTCCTTACACAGTAATTAATCTGAGCTGGATTCCAGAAATTTCTTCCAGTGCTCAGGCAGTTGCAATATATGTCAAATATATTTGCAATAACCATACTGTCCTCCAGGAAAGAAAGGGTTGGTCCTAGGCTGTCTCTAAACCTCTGTCCCTGGGCAAATTCATCTGAACAAAGCTCAAATTTTCTGTTCTGTCCATAGCTTCTGACATTCCAAGTGCAGCATCTGGGCTAATAGATACTGCTCTGGAAAATTGTCAAAAAGAATGCTGAGGCTGCAAATACTCAAACATTAGGAAATGCCAGAAGTAAAACTGTCTGTACAACATTAATTACATCTTTCTGACACTTCAGTGAGAAAATGGTATGTGCTATGGTTAATTTATGAAATTCTTGTCTCTATTCAGCTCTTCTGCAGCTGACTGCAGAACACTGCCAAGATTACACAGCACTTCACAAACCAGGGAGACTGAAAGGGCACCAGGCCTTGGTAGCTCCCACACCATCAGGACATAGAGCACCACAGCACTGGTGCAAGGTCTGCACTGCTTTCACCTAAACAGCCTTGCATTATAACACCAAAACAGGCAAAATTGTCCAACCAAACAGCCCAAACAGAACAAACAACAATGAAAGCAATGGGAAAACAAAAAGAGGAATGTTTACAGCAGTCCCTTTCCTTCCTAATATCTAGAGCTCTTGCTTTTTCTAGTTTTGTTCTCACTGCATGCCCGTGATGCCAAAAAGTTGGTAAATCTCTATAAGATTAGATATACCAACTGGTTTTATTTTGAGATGACTGGGATGACTATATATTACTAGCAGGAAGAGAAAGTGATGGATTCTACATTTAATTGTAATGCAGAGTGATAGAATTTAAATGAACTTCATCAATGTGTGTGACTTGCAAGACTTACGTGCAACAGATTAAGGACTAAAATACAAATAAAGTAATTGTGAGATCAAGCAGGTAGGAGCAGGTGTTTAGAGAAGCTTTCTGCAAGTTGTTTTGGGGAAAATCAGTTTTCCTAGTTCCAATATCTTCATTATATGTGAACATCACCTCTCCATGCAAGCCTTACTCATTATTATCTGACAAATACTGTCACAAGAGCTCCTTGGCAGAGATGGAAGATGTTTAGACAGTTCAGAAAACCCTCTTTTCTAATGAAGGTTGCAGAGCAGAGCAGAGGAGTAGAAATAAAATACAGGGAAAGAACAGCACAGAAACAGTCACACCTGCCATCTACAACTTGACTTTCATTAGTCAACTTTCAAGCTCTTTCAAAAAGTAAACATCAGGGTTGATTAGGCCCAGAGAGATAAAGCAAGATCATGAGGGTCACAGATAAGCTATGAACAAATCTAGAAACAGAATCTGAAGTTCAAGTCGCATTCCAGTACTTTGTCTATGCAACCTAAAAAGCTCATCAATCTTCAAGTCCCAACAAAACAGATGACAGCAGGAGGCAAAAACCTACACAGTTTATTTATAATGCATATTAGCAAAGTTTTCTTTTTCTGAACTGAACAGAAACACAGAATGGGAATTTCATTTCCTCACATTTCCCAGTCTTTGTTCATTCCAGCTGTGCTGTAAGCCACATTCTCCCTCTCACAGTGTCAGAGTAACTCTCCTTCCCCAGAGAAATTCTGATGCCTTCAACCAATTAACAGCTCCTGTTATGAAGCTCTTGAAAGATTAGGGAGTGCAGGGGAGGATGGGACAGCTGAGAAATCCAAATTAGTGTCTCCACTGAGAGGCGAGGTGGGGAAATAACAAGAACAAACCCACAAAAAAATCCCAAAACCAGCTTAGCAATACCTGTGCTGTTTAGCTTGAGGCCAGGCCAGACAGCAAGAACACTGGGCTGTGTTCTCTAATACATCTGTTCCTGCAACAGACAAAAAACGAGCCCTGTTTTTTTGTCAGAGCAGATGACACACACTCTGGACAGGGGTGTGCCAGGAACCCTTTCCACCCCCAGTATGCACATTCATCATTTTCTTCACACCTTCCTAAAGACGATCTTCTTTGCTTCCCACTCCTGTGGCCTGAAGCCTTCTTTACAAAAGCAGATTTCCTCATCTGCTCAAAACAATCAAACTTAATACCTGTCATCTTAAGTGGAGATGCAGCTCTTGCAATAGTATTTGTGTCAGAGGAGAGCAAGCAAAATTTATGTGAACAGCTACTGCTCACATATACTGAAAATATAAAAATGCACAGTATTGGAACAGCTTCCTTGTTTTTTCTCTCCTTGTGAGCTTCAGCCCAAGCTTTTGTGAAGTTACTTTGCCTCAGTATAGTTCAGTTTTCCCGCTGCTTTCACCTAGCAGCAGGAAAACACACTGCCCAAAGTGTTCAAAGGCTCAGGCTCAGTCTAATGCTCTTGGTGGGTCCAGACTTATTCAGCTGGACCCAGATTTCTCTCACATTAAGCCCTTGTCTTTTTTTTTTTTTTCTTTTCTTAAGTTGCATCATAATCACTGTTATTAATAGGCAACTTCATGGCTCAACTCACTTCTGGTAATTTTAAATGTATAAATCATACCCTCACTGATGGGCATGAGAACATCAAGAGCTTTCAGGGATCTTTAACTGTTGCAAAACTTGCAAACTTAACAAGTGATTCTGTGCAAAAATAAGAACAGCACTAACTTCCTTTTAACCAGACAGGACCAGGTGAATGAATTGGGAAGCAATAAAACAAAGAAATGAAGTTCCAATGCACACAGGCAGCAAGTGAAGTTAGATTGTTTCATGAAGTAACTCATTTTAAAGTCTCAAATACCAGCTACATCTGAAAAAATGGGTGGATAAATAACTGCTCAATAGTATAACTCAGTAATACTACAATTTTTTATATACATATGGAACTGCCAGAATTGGCTGAAAAACCATAAATGTTATTGCATTTCAAATTGCTTCCCTCTGTTTTTTGTCACTTTAACTCTTCAACTGTAAGATTCATAGAACCATGCTTCTGGAAATGATGCTTACCAAATTTTTCTGTTTCCACTTCTCTGCCCAAAAAACCTAAACAGATAACAGAACCACACAGGCATGGTCCTTGGCCTCTGATAGCTGCTCTACTTCCAAGTCTTGCTAAAGTATCTCTACATGCAGCACACTAGAGCAGAAGCGTTGCATGCTGCACAGAGAAGTCAAGAGGTGGTTGCTCAGGAAGGTAAGGCAAGAAAATGCTGCAGTTTCACTGCTGCTCTATAAAACTGCTCCTGTGTTTCCTGTTGGAACCTGAAGTTATTACAATCCACTGCAGAAAAGAAAGACCAATTGTCATCTACATATTTTTCAAGACGAATCATGCAAGATTGTATTTACCACATTTTCTTTTACTAACCCCCACACACATAAAATGAGCTCATTAGAAAATGAACTGAAATGAGTGTCCATGCCTGCAACTCTCAGTTTCTTGAAGCTTAATTCAGTTCTTAAGAAGCCCACAGATAGCATTAAATCTTTATATTTCAGGATCATAACATACATTGATTCCAATCAATAACCTTGATTTTGCAGAAACTTTGTGAGCTGACAAGTGCAGACTGAAAAATTCAGCAAGCCTGCTCAGAGAAATGATGATAAAATTTTGAAACGGACAACTTGTATAGTTGTATGGCTTTCCTTAATCTCCTATTTAGTCTTGAAGGTAGCATTAACTAGGTTCTTGAACAAAATGTTGAAAAATATTGTGCAATATATCAGTAAGTATGAAAAGTAAGTCTCAAGTTAAAGTTTGCTACACACTGGTACAAACTCCTCTGGTAAACTTCTGGGATCCACAAATCAATAAGGATTAGAAGTTTTGCCTGCTTCTTCCATTTATTTGATCTTTTCCACAGATCTGATAGAACTTGTGCATAGTTTCATCTTCAAAATTTGAACCAGAAGATCTTAAAACTTAGCATAAAATGAAACATTTTTTAAAAGAAAAGTTAGAAAACATCATATAATCTGATGGGTATAAAAATAATCTCTTTCTATTGTTCACATAATATCATAACCTAGGATATGATAAAAGGGGAAAGAAGATAGTCTTCAAATTATTAAATTCCCTTTTGATTTTCTTATTAAAGACAATAATTAAGCTTCATGCTGCATGAACTCATTCTTTTACACCTCAGAGACCTCAGATATTGTGTAGATGTTTCTTCTTGTGTAAAGTAACCACACAATAATTGTAGTATTTCAGAATGACAATAACTTATAACAATAATGCATTTCAACATTTAACTACATGAAATTGCCTGAAGTGTTACCATTATGCAAAACTCTTGAAAACCTTGGATAACTACTCAATAATTGGCACTTTGACCCACTACCAATACTAAGAAGGAAACAAAATTCTAAGTGAAAAAAGAGAGGTCACAATTACAGATCATAATAAAAGGAGTGGGTGTGGCTTGGCTAACCACAAAGGATCACATGGTTTGGTTTTCTAGGGACTTCAGGCTGGGAAAACTGTAGATTGCCAGAGAGAGATGGCTACAGGAGGCATATCTTTAGAAAGACTCTGGATTCAGTAGAAGAAACATCTTCACAAATCCAAGTTTCCAGAAGTCCTAGAATAAAAAAAAAAAAAACAAAAAACAAAAAAAAAAAAAAAAAAAAAAAAAAAAAGAAAAAAAAAAAAAAAAAAAAAAAAACAAAAAAACAAAAACAACAAAAAAACAGCGAGAAGTTAAAATTTTGATAAAATGTGGGGGATTACTGAGATTTTTATAGCTCTAGTAGTGTCTCTCTTGACTTTGCAGTTCCTCAAGCTGCAATGGATGCGTACCCAGCTTCCTCCAGGACCAGTTCCCCTCCCCATCATTGGAAATTTGTGGCTGCTGGACTTCAAACTACGCCGAGAAACTCTCAGCAAGGTATTTATTTATCTCTGTGGTTGCTAATCAGTCTGAATCTATTTTAACTTAAATTGTGCATTGCATAGGAATGGCCTAAAATGCTATTTTTTTTAACCTCAAGCTTGATTACCAGCCAGTTTCAAAGACTCTGAGAACCCTGCAGTATTAAAAATATTTCTGAGTAATAAACATCACCACTACTTTAGTTCTTGCTATTTTGTCTCTCTTTTGGTTGCATTCTCACAAGCACTGTCATAGAATGGTATTTCATTGGCAGTTTAATTTTGTTTCTGTGTTGATATCCAGCCCTGGAAGTCACCTCTAGCAGAGCTCTCTTTTCCTGACACCAATGCCACTGGAACATCTCCATCAGAAGACCAAACATGTACCCTAAACAGACACTTTGTTCCTTTGTTTTTACAGCAAAAAGATTTCTTATCTGCCATAAACAGGTTACTGCTAAAACAAAGCAGGAAAATCTGATTGCTGTTATGTTTGCAACACAGCAATCACACCAATCAAAACTATTTTTAAAAAGTAAGGAACTTGCTTCCCACTATTACAGGGGAAAATATAAGCATGATGTGAGGGACAACAACAGAGGAAAATAAGAAAGATCCTGTGGAGCTATAGAAAAGAAAGCAAGAAAATTTCTTTGCTTTCTTTTTGAGCTAGAGACAAGAACATACCATCATTTTGGTTCATTAATAAAGATTAAAAACTCTGGGATTTTGCCTGTAATAATTTGTTCTTTGATTCAGAGCTAACAAAGTAACCTGCTGGTTTTCTTTCTGTGAAATTTACAGAGGTATTCTTCTGAGAGATGTCTTTAGCATCTATTCCATAAAGAACAATTATCTTCTGTTCCCAAAGCACATTAATAACAGAAAGACATTTTTTTTTCTAAAACCTGCAATTCAATTTGATGCCAACAAATGAGTTTCGTTACAACTACAGAAAACTATTAAATAAATTGATATTTTAGTGCATGCTTTCCCTGGTTTATAGTTACAAATTTCCTGTTATCAACTCTTCAGTTAACCAACGTGTACGGGAACATCTACACACTGTGGATGGGACAGACGCCTCTGGTTGTGCTGAATGGATACAAAGCAGTAAAAGATGGCATCATCACCCACTCAGAGGAAGTTTCTGGAAGACCCCTCACCCCTTTCTACAGGGATATGATGGGTGAGAAAGGTACAAAGTGTTACACAAAGTGTTACACAAGAATGAGATAGAACAAGGTATAAAGAAGGAATATGTTTTCACGTGCACACACATCAGCTACTGCTATACCGGGGCATAACTGGGCTTTCACTGCAAAAATATTTCATGTAGTGCTAAGCATATTAAGGAAAAATCAAAAATGTATTGTCTTAAAAAGCACATCACTCAGTCCTTTTCCTTCCCAATAGATCCAAATGAATACTTGCCTGGAGAAACTGCCCTTCAATTGTATTATTTCTAAACCAGGAGACTGCTGATGTGGAAGGTATCTATAGACAAAGCTGTTCAGTCCTCACCAAAACCCCCTCAGCTTCCAAGGACACATTTAGGAGCAGCTGGATGCCATAAAATCCTAGGGACCAAAACTCAGCTTCTAAAATTTAAAATCATTGTATCCTGTTAGTGAAATACAACCTCATCTAAATCAAAATTTGCCTCCTGCAGAGAAAGGATTTCCCCTCCCAGCAATGAACTAAATGTTTGTGTGTTTTTCAGGTATTTTCCTGACAAATGGTTACACCTGGAAGCAGCAGAGACGCTTTGGCATGACAATTATAAGAAGCCTGGCACTTGGTAAGAACAATTTGGAGCATCAAATTCAAACAGAGGCCTGTCGCCTTGTGGATATCTTCACAAATACAAAAGGTAAATTCACTAGAAAACAACACTTAGAGCTTTTCCTGAAATATTAGGGCTGGTAAAAGTTTCACAGTACATTTTTATAAGTAATATATTGTCTACATTAGTAGAGCTTTCACTGGCTTCTTAACTGCATTCTTTGCAAAAAATGTTTTGTCTGCACAGTGGGCAATATAAAATTGTTTCTTTTTAAATAAAGAGAGTTTAAAATATGTTCATTATCAACACAGCTGGTAATGATTCTTATACTCAAGGAGTATAGAAAAACCCTCCTTAAAATACACAATGTATGACCTGCTGGAAGTCATTCTAGGACAGCAGGCTTTTAGGATTTGGCAGAGAAAGAACCCCACAACAAGGAATGTATCATTCAGTTATCCAAAAAAATCTTCTTTTCAACGTTTGGATGAAATAGAAACCAATAGAATTTTAGCAAGCTGCCAAAACAAAGCAATTAAATATAAATATTCTGAGCAGCCAAATCCCTCACCCACATCGTGTTCCATGTGAAAACACAGAGAGGTTGCCTGAGGTCTCTCTCCAACTCTCCTTGGACCAGGTCCATCTCTTTTCCAAGAGCAACATTCACACATCTTTAAAATGTAGATGAAAAAAATCATCTACTGCAAGTCCCCGTACAGCCCAAAGCTTTACCTACCATGTAATCCGATCTCAATTTTTAACTCAATAAATGTATTTTCTCTTTCCAAGAACAACCAAGAGCATTGGACCGAAGTCAGGGATGTATTTTCCATAGAAGCATACTTCAAAGGTTGTCCTTGCCATTGAAATTTGTACTTAATTTATTTTTTTCTGGATTTAACCCTTTTCAATGGGAGAAGTATTCCACTCTACTATATGAGCTTTGCCTTTTCAGTCTGTGGGAAAAAAATACATCTATGATTGGATTGTTAAGCTGATACTTGAAATCCAAAAAGATATAAGTAATTTCAACAGAAGTAAGAAATGAAAATTCTAATTATTTTTTCCGGGTTTTTTTGTTTGGGTTCTTGTCTTGCAGGATGGGGGGGTGAGGATTGTTGGTTTTGTTTTTTAACTGCAAAACTTAAATATCTACCTCCATATTTTAAGGCATATCCTCTAATTAATTGTTTGTGTTTCCGCACAACCCAGACCACAAGTCAAAGAAGGGAAAAGATTTTGTTTGCCTACTCAAAACTGATTATCATTGTATTTTACAGGAGTAAAGAGCAGATTGAAAATTAAGAATCCATGCACTTACAATTCATGCAGTTAATATAAAAACTAGGCTTCACTAATGTAAAATTTTCCTAAAAATAGTTTGATCCCTTGTTGTTTTTACCATTAAAAAAAAAGTCTTCCACGTTTTTCTTGCTGTAGTCTATTCAGAAGTTCTCACAGCACCTCCCATATTCACAGGCAAACCTTTTGACCCCCACACTTCCATCGTCCATGCAATTGCAAATATCATTTGTGCTGTTGTTTTTGGTCATTGCTTCTCCAGTGAGGATGAATCTTTCAGCAAACTCATCAAAGCTATTTATTCTGTGATCTACTTTCAAGGTACTATCTGGGGCAGGGTAAGAACCTACTTTTCTTGTTCCTTAAGGTGCATTTGCACTTGACAAATCAAAAGAAATTAAAAGTCAGAGACAAGTATTCATAAACATTTCCATTTCCAAACATACCATTGTTCTACAAGCCACAGGGAAATAATAAATCAACACATACTTTGTATATGTCATTATTGGCTTCTAATCCTTCTTTATGTCTGTAAATCACATCCTAAAATTAAAATTCTAGATCACTGCTTTTCACAGATTTCCAATGAGCAATCATTTGCAGAATACTGTGTATTTAAGATTCATAGTTCTTAAAATGATAACAGCTTCTAAAATTTCATTTTTATTTAGTTTTGCAAATCCAGAAGGGCAGTTAGTAAGAACTAAGTCTTCAAATGGATGCTCTTTTAAAAACATATCTTGCTTAAATTCATAATGCGTATTACCATCAAGATCTGAGTTATTCTGAGCTTCCCATGATATACAGGTTATAACAAAGGTTTATCACACCAAGAAGAATATATTTTAAGTTCTCAAAATCCTAGCTATTACTTAACTTGTGCAGATTTTGACACACTGGCATTGTAAAAGACTATCAGGTTCCTCATAAAGGGATGCCTAAAAAAATTACAGTAAAAAATTCAAGGTTGAGAAAAATCTGTTTGTGAGTCAGATTACATTCCCAGTATTTAATCTCTTGTGTCTACTGCCTCTCATTCCAATTTGTTTGCCCACATGTTGTGATGACTTCACAATTATCAGGAAATCAGAACTGGGATCTGACACTCTTTGCTTTCTGTTTAACACCACAGCTGTATGATGCTTTCCCATGGCTCATGCACCATCTCCCAGGGCCTCATCAGGAGGTGTTTGCATACAATGACTTCATGCACAGATTAGTCATGAAGGAGGTTCAGGCTCATGAAAGACAAAACACAGGTGATCCACAGGATTTCATTGACTTCTACCTGGCTCAAATAACAAAAGTAAGTATCTGTTTATCACACTCTTCCTTACTTGGCTTCAATGCTACTACAAACACTTGCTGTTTCAGTAACTGCCAAAGGATTTTTGCATGCACACTCTATTTGTGTAGCACCAAAGGTGTTTGATAACAGTGGCCTGCCCACTGTTACCAAACAATGACAGTTTCTATGTGACTGGTGAAATATCTAAAATAATCTCTTTCATAGTCTTCTTGTGAATATACCCCACAGACAAAGGACGACCCTACTTCAACATTCAATAAAGAAAATATGGTTCAGACAGTGGTTGATCTTTTGCTGGGAGGGACGGAAACAACAAGCACCACCCTTCTCTGGGCACTGCTCTACATGGTACAATACCCAGAAATACAAGGTGAGCAAAAGCACTATCAGAGAGACCTGCATTCAACAACACAATGAACATCATTAGTGTAAGTATCAGCTCCATTACATGCAAGGCACCAACAAAAAACTTAGCTATGTACACGAATGCTAGTACATCAGCAATTGAGATCCAGAAAATGGAAGGTCAATAAATGAAACAAACAGGTGCTCCCCCATCTGGTTCACCAACAACAGTAGTAGAAATTAGTAGTCGCCGCAGTTTTACCTCACTAGAAGGGACTGGCAAGACAGAATAATAAGTTAAATACATTTCATATGCAACTTAGTCTCCTCCTAACTTTTGAAGTAGAAACGTTTTTAACAGATACCTGATCTGATACATATTTATAAACAATGTAAATTATACCTGTAATTTCAAATTTTAATCCATTTTTTGAAATGTGCAATTGTACTATCCTCATCACCAAGTAGGATATGTCTTAAATGAGACATCATCCTGTGATTCAGGGAGATGCACTTCCTTGATCAACTGAAACCTATACAGCAGTCAAACCACATGGCAACACATTTCATAGCAACGTCATTTCTTTTCTTTCCCTCAGACAGGACATTCTCATGTAAAAAACAGCTGGAAATAAAGGGGGGAAGAGGCGGGGTTGCAGAGTGGGAAATTAAAGTATTTTCATGTGTCTGCAGAAAAGGTTCAAAGAGAGATAGGGGCTGTTCTGGAACCCTCCCATGTCGTCAGCTATGAAGACCGTAAGAAGCTGCCCTACACCAACGCTGTGATTCACGAGGCTTTGCGCTACAGCAACGTCACCTCTGTCGGGGTCCCTCGACAGTGCCTGAGGAGCACAACTCTGCTGGGTTTTCACATTAAAAAGGTACAGGGGATATCCACTTTTCTTACATCTTTGAGCTGTTAATATTTAGCATTTATATGACACAGAGAGAAGGAAAATCTATAGAAAATAAGATCTCTGCTGCTTCTTGCAGGGCACGCTTGTATTGCCAAATCTGCACTCTGTGGTCTATGACACTGAGCACTGGGCAACCCCTTGGAAGTTCAACCCAGATCATTTCCTAGATATGGATGGCAACTTTGTGAACAAAGAGGCATTCTTACCTTTCTCAGCAGGTAACATCCTGACCTTGAATATTCCTGCTTGTTCTGCTTTGCAACAAGATTAAAAATACTATTTCTGATTTCTAAAATATTAAAAAGATACATTTATAAAAATGTATTTGACTAGATTGACTATTTGACTGATTGGAAAGACCTAAAGTCAGGTCTTTTGCTGTAAGAGCCACAGATATCGTGCATTTTGTATTTTTCATATATTCAAGCAGAATATAAGTACAGCTGAGAGACTCAATGCTCTTTCCTTGACATATGCAGGGTTCCTATCATAAGACTATCTGACCTTCTTATTTCCTAATGTGTTAAATCAAGTTAATTCCCTGTTAAATCAAGGTAATTTCCCTAAGTCCCCTAATTTATTCATTTTTACCTTACAAAAAGGAAGGTCAGTGACAAAAGAAATGTGATTTTTCAAAACATACAGAAAAAAATCCATGAAGAAGTAGTAACCAAACCTCAGTCTCCCAAATCCTATGTTAATAGCCTAGCACCATGTCTTCTTGTATCTGTAGAAAACTAGCAAAATCCAGTAGATTTTGTAGGTTTTCAGTAGAATATTATTAGGCAACCAAAACAATTTTTAACTTTTCAAAAGCATGTTACAATGTATAACTTACAGTGCAAAATGCAGGGACTCAAAGATATGGAGGGGGAAAAAATGGGGGGGGGGAAGAGTGAAAAGCAGTATAAAACAGCTCTAGCAAATTTCTCTAGTCTACCAGTTTCTCCAACAAACTGATTATGAAAAACAGCAGCACAAAATAGGAAAGTGGTATCATTACTAAAAATTCACAATAAAACCACTGGGAAACAGCTGAGGGGTTTTTTGTGTTACTGTGGCATTATACTATTATACACTTCTTGTAGAGAAACAGCAAAGAGCATACTAAGTAACATGGTCAGACTAAATGTAGTAAATCTAGATTCTTTTTTTAAATTCTCTAAATTGTCAGTAAATCCTAAAATCATCATTGCAAAACAGGTATTTACCATCTTACCTCCTTTACTCACCAAATGCCTATGAATCAAGACAACTCATTTGTGCTCCAATTTTAATTGTGGCATAGGACTATTTCTTTAACTTGCTCTGGTTGTTTTTGGTTCATGTAATCTGAGTATTTAGATATTTTAAATATCTTTGGTTTTATTAGCCTGGAATATATAGATATCCTGAAATATCGTGTGTAAACAATATGCCAAAATGAGTCACTGAGTGTATATATCACTGCACATTTCACTCCCTTAGCTCACACATCTGCCTCTGACAGTGTTAGGGCTACAAGAACCCAATATACCCTTCTGAATTTCTGTTAAAGAAATCCTGATTACATCCTTCTCCTTGGCTTCAGAACCGCATCCCACAATGCTCCAGCCCTCCCTTCTCAACAACCAAATTAAGTCTCTGAAGTATATGAAGCTTTTTAAAATCTAGCTTAACTAAGAAGCAATTCATGGTTTTCACAAAAAGAATCAACAATAGAAAGGGAGAATTGCATACAGGCTCCAGGGGTGAAAAAAAGACTAAACAAACCCAGTCAAAACACCAAACACTTGACAGAGGTACACAGTTTCTCAGTTAAATATTTCCCCACCCTCCTCCTAAAGTATCTTCTGCCCTTATTGAAGGAAGTAGGAAATAATTATCTTACATTAACAGAATTTGTGGAACTCGGTAGAATTTTGTGTAAAGTTTTTTTACAGAATTTAACTTTACTCAACCAACTTTTCTGATTTTCCTCTGCAGGGCACCGTGTATGTTTGGGGGAACGGATGGCAAGAATTGAATTGTTCATCTTCTTTACCAGTCTCCTTCGGGCATTTACATTCCAGCTCCCTGAGGGGGTGAAGGAAATCAATCTGGAGTATATTTTGGGTGCAATACTGCAGCCACATCCATATAAACTCTGTGCTATTCCACGCTAATCTGCAATGCTAAGAGAATTCAACCTGTTAGTGAGTGCAGATCCTTTAAAAACATGCTTCACTATCTCAGTTCTATTCACATGAAGGTAGCTCAATTCAGCAAATTAATAGTTTTTATTTAGGAGGTCTGACCTCATGTACTGAACTTTCTGAAATAAAAGTAAGTCTACCTGCCAAACTCACATAATTGAATCTTGGACATACACAAGCACATATTATTTCTAAAAACATGTATTTTCACACTCACAGTAGCAGTGAATTAGCTGTAGGATGTTAGAGAAGTGGCCTGTATTAAGTAGTTTCCTGCATGTGTGCTCTGTAGGTATCACACTCTTAAAAGAGGAAAACTGTTCAGTAAGGATACTTGAATAAAATTTTCTTCAGTAAGCTGTTATTCTTCCGGGTTCACAGGTCTTTTCTTAGATCTTGCAGGAGGTAACAGAGTATGCACACACTAAGTGTTGATTCCTTTGCCTTTCACTCTCCTACAAAGTATTATATAGTGTAGCATAAACTTCACACACACAAAAATGATTGTAGTATGGACCCTTTCATAACCACAGCCCACTAAGAAATCCTTACATCTTTTTTTACTTCCTCAGTATCCAGTTTCTATTTCATCACAACTCAGGTCCATGCACTTTCAAAAACTTTTCCTTCTGTTTAGAAACATTGTTGTTTTATCCAATATTTTCCTATTTGAAGAGAAAGGAACAGCTTTTCAAGAAATTAAGAAAATAAACAAAGATGTCAACAGTTGTTTTAGTAGGTAGAGATTTATTACTCACAGTGTTTTCTTTTGTTCTTTTTTGACATTAACAGATGTAGAAGATTTTGACCATTTAAAATTCAGCTGAAAGCATCCTAAATCCTTTCAATTTTCAAAGTTCAACAGGAGCTAGCAGAAATTATGGCAGGATATAGTAAAAAGCAAATGCAGAATACTACATGTTTCTGGGACATAAAATGGATGGAAGACTTGATTGTCTCCGCAAGTATTTCCAATTATTCCCTTCCACTAAGTGGAAGGGAATAATTTGTTCTAACACATGGTAATGTTTGTTACCACAGGACAAATGCATACTTGACATCATTGAAATATTTCATTTTTTAAATAAAAGCCATTTTAAAACTTTCAATGTCACTTTATTTTCATTGAGGAAAATATAACATTTAAAAAATCCTGCTTGAATAAGAAATACTTTCAAACATAAATTAAGAAAAAACTTTTAAACTGCACACTTTTTGCAGCAAGGGCAGCTCTTCCATAAAACACATTCTTACAGATTTACAAAAGCAGTCTGACAGGATAGTTCAAAAGATTTCAAGTCTTGTATTTTTTTATTTCTGGCATTCATTAAGGAAAACTCACCAAAAAAATCTTTCCTTTGAACCCACCATCTACTTGGTTCCATAGAGGGCCCAAGGTAAAGTGCTCAGCAGCAGGACTGGCAGTGTCAGATACAAACTTGGACTTTTTCTACTCCAGTGTATTTTGATGGTTCTTGAGGTATATCCTACCTGAAAAAAATACTCCAGTTTTTCCTCTATGTTCACCACCCCCCCTCGGTCACATGAAGTTATTCTCTCAGTTGATTTTTCTTTTTTCCCCCAATAAAATTATTTGACAATCACAGAATGGTTATAGTTGGAAGGGACCTTAAAGATCATCTTGTTCCAATCCCCCTGCCATGGGCAGAGACACATTCCACAAGACCAGTGTGATCAGGGCTCCATCCAACCTCGCCTTACATGTAAGAAGCTTTATGGTTTTCTTCCAAAACCGTAGCTTGGGTTAAAACATGCACATATTCTTCATCTGTATTTTTGAAGAACTGAGGCACATGATAATTTGCTGTACAATGCTCCTTCTAAAAATGTGGGAAGACCAAATATTCAGTGTGTTCATTATTAAAATAGGTATTTTTTACAAAGAAGTCATTACAGGCCTGGCAATTGGTACCAGTGAAAACCAGTTGGGCTAAGAGGATCTTCTTGTTATTCCATTTAAAACTGAGAAGAGCAAGAAATGAGGCATTCCTCGGTTTCCTGATGTTTCTTGAAATGACAATGTAAGAATTCCATGCTACCTTTTCATCACAGTTGTAAAGGAAACCTATAAGAAAATGTGCAATACAGAGAAAAAAAAACTATATCATCTGGTTTTTTTTGTCAAGAAGGAATTGAAGTGAATCAGAGAAAAGAAAGATTTAGAAACAAAGGTTAAAATGCAATATTTTCATCTGAAACATCCTTTTAAAAAAACCCAAAAACTTTAAAACTCACAAATCTCATCACATTAGTAACTAGAGAACACAGTCAAACTTTTAGAAAAATACACTGACATCCAGCTCTGCTGTTGTTACACATCTTTTAGAAATCACTAGCCCTAAGTGAGGCAGACTGCCTGGAACCTTCAGGAGCTAAACCCGTAAAAGTTTAAAGTCCAGTCTTTAGACATGCCCATATTGTTGAAGATTCGATTCAGACATTAATTTCTCCCACTGATAAGAAAAATATAACTGCAATTTCCAGATTCTTAAAGCTGTCCTGAAGCATCTAAATTGTTTATTCCTTTGAGTCTGTTTAAATAAGTAAAGAAACATAAGTTTGAATAGCTTCCTTTTAATATAATGGCCTTACAACATTTTGTTCTTATGACAATGGTAACAAAGGACCTTCATTGCATAATTCAGCTCCTAAATATTAAAGTAACAGGAACCATATGGAAAGTACACACAGGTCTGTGCCCACTTTGTGAAGCACACAAAATCCATACTGTTGGTGTGGTTTTAAGAGAAAAATGTAATAACTGGTCAACATGGCCCACATTCAGAAAACAAGCAAATTCTAAACTTGGGTGAAGAGTTTTTCCTACAATTTTTGCTTTGTTCAAACTTCAAAGGGAAAGACCCAAATATCTAGATGATCTTGTTCCACCTAATAAGCAGAGTGTTATCAAGGACATGTTTTGATCTACCAACCAAATAACATATCTTCAAACCACTGTTAAAATAATACTTTCTTTTTTAAATTTAAAACATTTTAATTGAAGTTCCCTGTACCAATTAAAAATACCATAATTTTATTTACTCAGTATCCACGTTCATCCGTTTTATATTACATGCCTATCTAATCAAGCAAAACAAGACCAAAATCTGAAATAACTGTCATTAACTTGATGAAAACAACTTGCACTCCAGGAGGGATTATAATGGTGGGATGCTGTACAGGCTGACTGTAGGGAAACAAATAAAAACCTAATCTCATTTTGCTGTGGTTTCTTAAGCCTTTACAACATTACCACATCATTAGAATTTTAAAATTGCAATACAGAAGATACCAAATATCAAAACCAATCAGATGGAGGAAGGATACAACATATAGTTGAAGCAAGCAGATCTGTGGTGATACCACAAATGAATAAATCAAAATATATCCATCGAAATACATCACTTACCTCTTGTAATACTTGTCCAAGTTTCTCCTGGCTGTGAATGCGCTTCCTGTTGAAAACCCAAACCACACTTATTTCTGAACAAAGCATTGGGAATCTTGCAAATATCCATTATTTATCCCACTTCAAAAAGAGAAGTTATATCAGGCTTGTTTTCTCAAAAACAACCCTGAATTTCAAAAGGCCTTGGTAACTTTCAGCATAAATCCTAACATTGATGATGCAGCCAGTAATTAATTACTTTAGTATCATCTCCTCCAGCAATAGACATCTGATATTCACCAAGTAATCCAAGAAGATTTAACAAATACTACCTTTTTTAGTCATTCTTCCAACATAATCAAAGTGGTAAGCAGAGCATGCAAGCAATACAGACTTCTCAAAAAGTTCCCATCAAGACAACATGTTACTGCCCATTGAAAATACACAGTCATTTCTATGCATCCTGTAATATATGCACTAAAAATACTAGAAAAGCAAATGAAAGGCAACATAATTTTACCTGTCTATTTTGGTTGCTATGACCACTGTAAAATTGCCTTCTGTATTGGGCAAGTATGTAGAAGGTATAATGACATAACTTCCTGCAGGAAGCCTGCAAAGTCGGCTGACTTCCTGGGAATAGCAGTGAGGAACACAGCTCACCAGTGGCTCCAAATGTACAAAAGAAGTAGTTTGTGGTTTCCAGCTGCTGTTAGGCACCTGCGAAAAAGAATGCAAATATGCTTATCATTTAATCTGTTTCAGTCTCACGGTGTTTCATTCCTAGGACACCACAGTGTGATATGGTCCATCTCTATTCTAAATACTCACTCTGCTGTACAGAGCTAGAGAGAAGAGGAACGGAAAAGCTTCCAGAAAACCCAGATGGCAGTACTAAGAAGAGATTAATCATTCCTAGCCTGTTTGTAGACAATGTATAGAACCCACTACTCACACAGCTGTAGAGCTTTCTCTGTTGTATAACCCCACTCTTCCTTGCTGCAGCCTAAAGCACTTATTTACTGCCTCAGGGATCTGCTGAACAGACTGTCCATCCAATATCTAGTAGTCTTGCCTGTACTAAAGTCATATTAGACTTCATCTAGTCTTTTATAGGAATATAAGAAATGCCAATCTTTCTTCACATATTGTATACTTCAAGTTTTATGATTACTTCAGGTGCCCAACTCCAGACATTTCACTTAAGCAACACCTTTTTTGGAGGCATGTTTTCTAAAAATAAACCTTTCCCTGCAAAATAGTTACTTAAGCAGCAGCTTCTCAGATTTACATTTATGCAGATTACATTTATTACATTTGAACACTGGCACACACATGTTGAATCTGTATCTATCCATATCAAATCAAATCTTGTTTTGTTTCTGCTCAAGATATCACAGTCCTTTTGATCCAATATCATTTGCCTATGGACATTTAATTATTAGACACAAAGAAAGTAAGTTTTCATGATGAATTACCAAAAGGTCTGGTCCTCAATTACTAGGGCACCAAGAATTCTTTGCAAAATCTCAAAAGGAGTTAGTCATTGCTGAAACTAATT